TACCAGCCTTTTCTCTTAGCCTTCTGCCCTACTTTAAATGCTTCCAACTCTCCATCAGTAATGTTCTTGGGCAACAACTGCTAAGAATGCCGTAAAGGCTGGGCATGGAGGCTCAAGCCTGTAATCCCAGCACAGGCTGAGGCGATAGGATTGCCTGAGACCAGGGGTTTGAGACTAGCCTGAGCAACTTGGCAAGATCTTGTCTCTACAATAAATCAAAAAATTAGCCAGGCGTGGTGGCGTGCGCCTGTAGTTCCAGCTACTTGGAAGGCTGAAGCAGAAGGATCGCCTGAGCCCAGCAGGTCGAAGCTGTGGAGGCCATGGTGAGCATGCCACTGCACTCCAGCCTGGGTGACAGAGTGAGATTCCAACTCAAAAAAAAAAAAAAAAAGAATGCTGTAAAGACACATCCCAAACCCAGCTGCTAGTGCTCAAACACCACTCATAAAGCCCCAATACTGCCCACACCAGGCCCAGCAAGAATATCACACACGTGTCTTTTTTGCTAAATCGGCCTGAGGTCCAGGAGTCCAATAAAATGAAAAAATATCACACAAGATTATGTTTACCAGTTCCTCTTTTCAGATTTCAGGAGACTGTTCCAAAACATACCTCATTTTCTACTGGGATAATTAATAATAGTTTATAGGGCTTTCAAAGATAGCACCACTCTAAGTCAATGCCAATAACTTCTTCCCCAAGGAGCTGCAGCTTGCCCTGAAACCTTGGTGTAAAGGGTTAACCTGGCTGGGTGCCAACCAAAGTGGGCGGGGACAGAAGAGCCTCAGGCCCAGGCTCATTGGTGTATTGTTCCCAACCTCAGGGAGGGGGAAGGGGGCACAGTAAGCTCCACCCCCTGCCTGTGTGCTCCGGAAACCCTGTGCTAAGGAAAGGGGGACCACACCCCCCACATCCCTTCTGATTGGACAAGGCCAAGGTCAGCCCCTGCCTGATGAGGCTGGAAACCCCAAAGGGCAGGGAACTCGGTAAGCTCAGCTCCTCATTAACCCCTTCATGCCCAAAGCAACCTGAAAAAAGGAAAATAACTTAGAAAGAGGAACAAGAGAAAAGGGAAAGAAAACCAAAGCAAGAAAGAAAAACAAAGTTAAAGAAAACTAAAAGAAAAACTTTTAAAGAAGATGAGAGCTTAATGAGAAGACAGAAGGAAAAGGGGAAGATATAAAATGGAGGGGAAAGTGGGAGAGGTGAGAAAGAAAAAGTGCAAAACCTTCCTACCATCTCCTAGTTTCGTATCCTCTCCCTTCAATGTATTCTCATCACTTCGTGATTACAAAATAGTCTTATATATAGACTTCTCAGTGCAAACTCTTCCTTTTCACCCTGACCTTCAGTCAACACCCATAGTTCCAATGTACTCCAAACTGTCACCCTTTAAAGAAGCTTTCTCCTCTACAGCTCCTCCTAATCTGTGTAAATGCTATCATCTTTCTCTCTCAAACCATGTATTTTCTCGTTTTCCTTATCATGGTCTCTGCACCCTGCTTTCAAACCCAACGTGTAAAAACAGGCCTCCCTCCTCAGACCAGGCATTTCCCACCCCCAAACTCACACCCCTGCCTTAGGCATGCTACTAGAGGAAATACCTGCAGGGACATGCCCAAGATTCAGATCATAGGGAGGGAGAGAAGCTGGGGAAGACACTCACTGGCATTACTGTCAGCCAGGCTGTTGAGGCTACTAGAAATGTCCCTTCGCCGAAAAAGACAGACAACCTTTGCCTCCACATTTCCATTTGCAGTCTAAGGGGAGGAAAAAATCGCAGTGAAAATTGGTCATTTGAAAATAAAAATGCACAAAGACAAGATTTAACTGTGAATAAGTTTCTATGTAAGCAGAAAAGCCCAGGAAATTATGAGTAATGACTTACATTCAAGGATAGACTTCCAAAACCCTTTCCTTTCCCTCCCAGAGACAGAATAGTAAAGTTCCCACTAAGCTCTCAATAGCCTTCCCTGAATACACTCAATGAATGAATGAATATGAATGGGTTGTTAGAATAGAGTCCTCTCTTCCATCTGAAGTTAGAAACCTCAGAAGAGACCATTGGGGTGGGGGTATTTCCACTCCACTCACCTTGTTGAGCTCCTCAATCCGTCTAACCAGGTACGGATTGCTGGAAGAGTTCTCAAAATAGACGTAATCTGTAAAAGGGAGGGGGGAGAACCGGGAAGATCAGAGGTGGAGATGGAAGAGCCAGAGCAACATAGTAGGAGGAATGTGGCCTGAGCGGACCAAAAGGAGATAAGGGTACAGGTAGAGAGCACGCTGAGATGTGAACGTGGAGACTACGAGAAAATAAGGTTGCCTCCCCACCGCACCTAGTTCTAAAATCAGATCCTTCACTCAAAAGTGAGTTTTAAGAAAGACACAAGAAGCAAGAGTTCCCTTGCGATCCCCATAGCTCAAGCAATGAGTTGCACCCCCAACTCGGCGAAGTGAGCAATTGTTCACTCCAGCCCAGGGCCCCCACCTTAGCGAACAGAGGCGCACAATAACGCCCAAGGAGAGGAAACCTCCGGGAGGCTCCTCTGCGGTGGCAAGTCGTCGTCCCGGCCCCTTGCGCCCCTCATCCTGTCAGCTCCTTGGGAACCAGTTTCCTAAGCCCACTCTCCACCCCCGGGGAGGCCCCCGACCCAGCTCTGAGAGTGTCGTCGGTACCGCATGCAACCCCTCCCGGAGTCGGG